CGCGGCTAGAAAAGAACTTCACCGCATCTTTGAGCAGTTCGGGTTAAAAATCACCGTCGATATTTGCCATCAATCAGTCAACTTTCTTGATGTCACCTTAAACCTGAAAGATAATCAGTTCTCCCCTTACCGAAAACCTAATAATGACCCAGTTTACATCGACAGCAGGTCTAACCATCCACCATCCATAATCAGACAACTTCCCAAATCGATCAACAAACGTATATCCTCACTTTCGTCCAACAAAACCAGTTTTGATTTAGCTGCCCCGCTTTACGAAGATGCTCTAAAACACAGTCATTTCAACACCACCTTAAGTTACCAACAAGATGAAAACAACTACAACCCCAAGCGAAGAACGCGATCAAGAAATATAATCTGGTATAATCCACCTTATAGTAAGAATGTGAAAACGAATGTAGCACAAAGGTTCCTTCGCTTAATTGATAAGCATTTCCCAAAGTCATCGCCTCTCCATAAAATTTTCAACCGGAACACGGTCAAAGTGAGTTACTCTTGTATGAACAATGTTAAAACCTCAATCTCCAACCACAATCATAGAGTCCTTAGACATCAAAACAACTCCCAATGTTCTTTGAAATCATGCAACTGCAGAGTTAAGGAGGAATGCCCAATGAACGGTAATTGTCTCGTGAAAAGTATTGTGTACAAAGCGGAAGTTAGCTCGGGTAATGGAGAAGTTGTCAAGCATTATATTGGTATGACATCAGGTAGCTTCAAACTCAGATACAGCAACCACTTAAAGTCTTTTAACCACGAACGCTACTCTGGAGAAACGGAGCTCTCGAAGTATGTTTGGGGGCTCAAGTCGCAAGATAAACCATTTGGGATAAAATGGTCAGTGATGAAGCAAGTTCCCGCCGCATGTCCAGAAATGAAAGTTTGCAATTTATGCACCGAGGAAAAAAGATTCATCATGCTATCAGACAAAAACAAATCGTTGAACAAAAGGACAGAACTGTTTAGTAAATGCCGACATAGATATGGTTTTAAAGTTTGTAATGTTAAGCACACGCAAACATGCACGTTAAAACTCTCGCGTAATCAATCAAAAACGCGTGTGCGTAAACCGTTGTAAATAGTTATCGCCTGAGGACCGTACTAAAACTAGTACGTGGAACACAGTGTAGCGATGAAATACAATTTTATATGTGATTATATTTTGTTGATTTGTTTATATATATATATATATATATATATATATATATATATATATATATATATATATATATATATATATATATATGTAAGGTGTATTTTGACATAACTGTCACACACAGTTATCACAGTCAGGAACTACAGGTCAAAAGGCTAAATTTAGAAGATCAGCATATACGTTGCAAAACGTACTAATAGTAGCGTGCCAACTTAACCCTGGTATTCATTTAGTCGTAATAGTCGTGAACAAATCATTTTCACCGATGAGAAATAGTCAGGATGTAAATTTTTCTTTGTTTCTGTATTCAGTCGGTCATTGTAGACTGCACACACATAGAAATATTCTATCATATCAGGCACCATAACATGTTTAGGACACTCACGATTAATAGTTGGCAACTAATATTTGCCTGGAATATTTACCTTAAATTACGAAACAATAGCAAATGCTCACAGTCACCCTGGTGCACAAAAACATAGGGATAACCAAGTTTAATTGTTAAATCCTCAAACTTTGTCTCTTCCATTTTCTTGCTTGAACAAACACCGTATCGAGGTAGCTCGCCATTGTCCTTTTTGTTATTCCAATCCATATAAAGTCTGAAAAGAAGTGAAAAAGCAACATTTAAGTTCACGTATTTTAGCGGAAAACGTCCAAAACATCAAACCTTTTCGGTGTACCACCAAGGGCGTAACTAGAACGATAACTGGGGGGGGGGGGGTATTAATTTTTTCAGTTCTACTCGCGACGGCCGGGTTTCTTTTGTGCATTGCACTTAGAAAAGACATCCGTTGGGCAGAACGAAATGTACATGAATAATCACCCTCCTTCAATTATCGATCTTTAGTTACGCCCCTGTGTCAAAGTCCTTCAGCTCCATTCTTTACATTATATAGTCTAAGGGCTGTTTTTCACTGTCGTGTTTTTTGCACGTACGTACACGCACGTAAAAGCTTAAAACCTTCTAAGTTGTTGTATAATTAATTTCATGCCAGAAAAAAAACACGCATCAAATCATCAACAGAATTCAACCCGATAAATTTTTTCAATCGTTGATTTCATAAGTGTCATTTAAAGGATTTTAGGCTTTTAGATTCGTATAGACATACGCACAAAAAACGCGATAGTGGAAAACAGCCGTAAATCTTAAACAGTATTTAGTATTAACACCAAGCAACAAGAGTTTTTTCTTAAAAATATAATGGAGAATTATTGGCACGAATGTCAACGCCATTGCCACTGAAATGAATACTATGAATAAAGAAGAATACTATAAAAGTGACCTTTTTTCTCTGCGTATACGCCGAGAAATCTCTTTTAACATTTTTGTTTTCAGATTATGTAGTACTTTGTGAACATAGCTAATTTTCTGGGGCCGGTTGTTCGAAAGGCGTTTAGCTTAAACGGTGGATAAGCCAAAGTTTAAAAATACTCTCATAGATATTGTGAATGACTGAACCTGCATCTTATGCATTTAATATGTACTTCCATTGACAATTAAACTATTTAAATCGAAATATTTCGGCTACGTTGTTCAATAAATACATAATTTTGTTTTCGAATTTAAACTTATCCACCGTTTAAGCTAAACGCCTTTCGAACAACCACCCCCAGCTTTCCAGCTTCGCAAAATATTTTAAAATGTTAAAATCGTTAGAGTACTGCATGTTGGGAGATGATATAAGGTTTTGAACACATATTACGCGACATAAAAATGAAACACCACGCAATGCCAATGGGTTGATCCGTATCTTTTTTGGCGTTTCATCGCCTTCTTATAACCTTTGCATATAGTCAGATATCAGATTTTCACTTCAAATCGTCGTCTATCCAAACCCAAGAATCACTTTGTCCCAGATACATGTAACAGCTTTATTATCACCAAAATCAATAACCTTCTCTTTGCATGCATTCTTTCCTCTTACACCTTACTTAATTATAAAACGAGAGATATTCTACGATACTTCATGCATGCTTGAAGAATGCAAATTTAAATCAAGTTCATGATTCTGACGAGATAGAGTGCATGTTTTGACGTCGGTTGAAATATACTACAGGGTGCATGAAAAAAAAGTAGACAATTGTTAAAATGTCCATAAACTGAAAATTTCGCAAAATGTCTGAAGAACGTGTGTTGATATAGGTATTTTAGGGTCTCTTGACCACTTTAACACTGAAATAAATAAAAAAAAATTATATCGACGTGTAGGAATGATTATTTTCAAACACCACCTAAAACAACCCTCGCGCACAAAAACGGACTGTTCAAATCTTAATTCATTATCATAGGTTGAAAGTTTGGGTAATGTTTTATAAACTATCAAAGTTCCAGACAATTTGGTGTACATTAAATCCACCGGGCGGCCTCTCGAACTTGGACTTTTTTGCTATTTTTGGCCTTTCTCACATACTTTTTGCAGCTCACAAATGATTTCACGCATGATTAATGTAAAATATCAATAATGCATGAATTATTACCGCGTGAAACGCATGGTGATATATATATATATATATATATATATATATATATATATATATATATATATATATATATATATATATATATATATATATATATATCCAAGTGTAATTGTTTGTAATGGATAAAAGAGTGCTCAATACTAATTACAAGTAGAGCGAATTACACTTGGATATATATATATATATATATATATATATATATATATATATATATATATATATATATATATATATATATATATATATATATATATATATAAAGGCAGCAAATCAACTAAAACCAATGCATGCAGTACTGTTTTATCGATAACAAACAACATTCCATACGTAAGAAGTGAATTGGATCCGACATAATGGATAGTGTGAACGGACCTTAAATCAAAAGATTTTAGTTACCTGGAGTGAGGAACAAAACTGCATGCCAAAACTGCAAATATATCGTGTAACTTTCCACGTGTACTGTACAATATGCATGAAAACAATGCTAATTACGTTTTAGCAATAGCTATGTCCTACCTCTCTTCCAAGTACCAAAAATTCTTGAATTTTTCGTAACAATATTAAGACAGAGAAAAAATTATGCATACATATAAATATGAAATACTTTAATTCTTGAAATAGTATTGATTAATTACCTTCATGGGATGATATAGTGCTGCAGAAAGGACAACTTCTTGTCTATCTATTTTATGACCGGTGACAGCTGCTTTCGCCTTTTGCTAGAACAAACAGAGCAAGCTAAATAAGTTGTTCTAGGTTTTGAATGGAATACCTACTCGTCCCGAATTTCTAGACTGTTTATGAAATTGAAATTATTGAAAGTCGCTATTCGCTGAAGAAGTTTTAAGATTGATAGACGTTAGCTTTAAGACTAGTAAGTTTAAACCCAAATCTAAGAATGTTTATATACCTACCAGCTGTTCTGAAAGGATGATATAATTCTTTTGTTTGAATGATTCTCAGCGAGAATTTCTGGATTCAGGTAACACGCTGTGAAATACAGGAAAAGTGCTAAATGAGATCAGGTTTTCAAATACATTATTAAACATGCACAATTACGCTTAAATTACGTTCTCAAATACATTATTAACACAATTACGCTAAAAGAGATACTCTTGATCAAGTCTTGATAGGCCTTTAGCAGGGATGAATAAATTAAGAATGAGAATTGGGGGGGGGGGAGTATGTTTATTCATTTGGTTCTTCCGGAAGAATTTCTTTTGCGAATTTCTTGTGCAAATTTAGTCAGGGTTTTATAAACAAATGCTGTATTAGATCATACTGTGACTATGTATATATTATTTAACGAATAAATAATGTTGAACCATTGTTGCTTCAGTTATAGATACATAGTATGGCATATCATTTGTGATAAGAACAAAATAGTTGCCACAAAATAGTAGCTGCCGGGGCAAGCCGAAAAAGTTCCCTAATTAACAGGTAAACAGTTCGTTTTTGTTTTCCCCAATACCTAGAAAATTTTTAAAGTGTTAAGATAAGCACTAAAATGTGATTGCCTAACAAAATAAACTTGTAAGCGATCACTGATCAAATTCATTAAAACTTTCTGATTAGTCACTCTGTGCATGTGTCCTCTTATAGATCATGGCTCTCAACCAATGAAATTGCTTAAATTCGACTCAACATTCTTATATAAACAACTATTATACAGGACATGGGAGAAGCAAGGATTTGAGCAATCATGATTCCTTAGGGCAGATACTTTACCATTAAAATTTACCATAAGACTAACTGTATTTCCTTATTAAACATATTATATTCGTATATTCTTTTTCCATTGTTTTCATCCTGTGAATTTTGCCTGAATTTTAGCAGGGCTTCAACCTCTTGTTACACTCTATAATGTGTAAGGCTGATAGAACACTTTATCTAACAATTAGAATGATCTTATTATGATGTAACTGCTCACATTGACAACCATGTTTCACCCTAGGTAGCCCAAAGGTATTTGTGTTTTAATCTAAAGCGTCCATCCAGTTTAATATCGCGGTCTGTGACGTAAACACCAATTGCTATATTTGTATTATAATAAGATAAGGTTGGCAACTAAATATAAATTAACCACGTACACCCTCAAAACTATCGACAAAAAACATTGAAAATATGAAACATAACTCACAAAAAACATCATAACAATAAAATTTGATGTTTTTAATTGCTCCCCAGTACATTTTCTTGTTGAAAACAACTCTAGAAATGCGAAAAATTTTGCGATACTTTTCGTATTGCCATGAATTTTTTCGCCGTAACGATGCGGGATGTCTTTTGCCTAGCGCTGGTTTTCCATTCAAATGGCGAAGCAGCGACCTCATTGGCTCTTAAAATTGGCGAATAATTGGGAAAAAAGTGCAGTCCGGGGGGAGCATGAATGCTATGAATGTTATTCCGGAAATTGAATACGAAAATGAGCTGAAAATTAGGCAAAAGATTTTCGGCGCGAAAATTTCAAAACAAATTTAAAGGTCACTGTAATTCATATTACAATAAATATATCATATTGAAGTGCACTACTAAGAAAGTTAAAGATGTAAATCGGAAGGAAACAGCCGCAGAGCCGTCGTAAGTATAAAAATTATATATATTTTTCTGAATAAAATCTTTTATGGCCGTACGGTGGATATTGAAGCTATATTTAATAACACTATATAGGTTTTGAACATGGAAATGCAACGTGAACAAAGAGATAATTCTGTTTTCAATCCTCTCACATTAGCTATATGGTAAGAAGACTGTATTTTCCTAAATTAGTTCAGGCATATGTAAAAAAGAAACTTCAATATAAAAATACGTTTATGCAGTCACAGAGGTAGCTACTATAGTCTACAAAGCTCTCATGTCGCTATCGTTCGCAGTATTACTTCGTATGCATGCATGGCATGCAGCTAAAGTATTGTTCTCCGACAAAACACATGCACAAAAAAGTGAAAAAAATTTCGCGTCCGCCTAGAAATGTAAGTAAAAATGGAGTCTGACGTACCTTGGGCTTGACGGTTTTTAGTATTTTACAAGTGCATGTTAAGCCTGTGCCCAACGACGTGTTTTCACACTTCATCAATGTCTCCCAAGAAAATACACATGCAGATTGCAGCAAATAAGAAACCAGTACAATTTGAAAACAACGATATTTCACTGCAAAGCTTCCTTTATATCCACGATCTAAATACGTTTTTATGGTATATCCAATCCATAAAAATGACATCCATTACTTGTTAAATAAACCACGATGAAATTAAGCCAATCAGAAATTGTATTTCTGCCAGTTTACGAACAAATACCTGAAAAATACAATCGTTCTAAGTCTTTGCACACGTTTTCATAATAAAAGTCTAGTTTATATAGTTACTTTTATTAATACGACAGCAAAATACAGTGCTTTATGCAGAACTATGTAAAAGAAACAAGTCTGAAAAAAAACTATAAACCACAATTTCCCCCTACCTATTAACCCATGTTAAACATTTCATCGCATTTCTATACGCTCAGAAAATTGATCAAAAATGAATTCTACACATTTGTGTTATGATAAAGTGAAATGTATATATGATATGATCTTTTCATAAAACCTTCGCAAAAAAACACATTCTGTTGCGTTCTATAACCGCTTAGATCGCTTAACAATGTTTTTACTTATACCTTTAGATAATAAAAGTGTACATATCAATTGAAAAAAGGCTAAAATAAAACACCGAGTTCGCTTCAAAAAACTGCTTTTCCAACGGACAGCGTGTTCTCAGCAAGGCTCCTACTGCGCATGCACGACTTTTTCGAACAAACATGCGATAAATAACATCAGCCACAAGTTGACTGATATATTAATAGAACATTTATCATTTATAGAACATGTTTGAAAAATCAATGAAACATCATCTACCTATAATTATCGATCTAATTTTAGGAAATAGCTAAGAAACATGGCATATTCAAGATTGACAGGTGAACAATTAAATATTGTAAACTTTGCAAAAAGTGGCCATAATCTTTGCATATTTGGCCAAGCGGGAGTTGGAAAATCAACGGTCGTGCAAGAGATTAGAAGAAGTATGCAGGAGGAGGGAAAATGGTGCCAAATTGTATGTGCAAGTGGCATCGCATGTGGAGCATATGATGGATATGCAAAAACCGTGCACTCGCACTATGGTTTGCAAATTGCAGAACTGCCGCAAAATTTGTTATTGGAACGGTCCCTTGAACGAGCAAACATTATAGAACAGATTAAAAAGGTCGACGTTTTAATTTGGGACGAAGTTTCAATGTCAAGTCTACGTCTTTTCAACTTGGTAAATCTTCTTCATCAAGAAACATCAGAAAGCTCTTTTCCTTTTGGCGGTATCCAAGTCATTCTAGTAGGTGACTTTTGGCAATTAAAGCCAATTCAAAGTGGATTAGACAATGGAGACCCAGTTTATGAGTCAAAGTTGTTCGGAGAAGTCTTTTCCCACAGGTTTGAGCTAACTAAAGTATTGCGTCAAAATTTATCGGAAGTACGTTTGAAGGAAGCACTTAATGTGATCAGATATGGCAATTGTGATGACGATACTGAGCGATATCTTTGTTCCTTATCCAGGGACTTTCCACCCAGCCTTAATGTCGCCCCTGCATCCAGTTCTACTCATTCATCTTCACCAGTTCATATATTTTTCAAGCGCTTACCTGCTGATGTGCACAATGCAGCAATGTTAGCTTCTCTTCCCGGTCCAAAGTTAACCTTCAAGAGCAGTGACGTTGGATGCGCTAATTTACTTGACCGAACAATCAGCCAAGTTCTACACTTCAAACCAGGATGTAGAGTTATGTTAGTGTACAACATCAATCAACATCTAAAAAATGGGATTTGTGGTACGTTTGTTGAGGTTGGAGAGAGTGGCGAGGAGTTGCTAGTAGATTTTTCTGGCGTGGCGTATTCCGGAAAGTTTGGTATAAGTATGATCTCTCAGGAACAATACAAGCCAGTCGTACACAGTTCCCTTTAACCCTTTCCTACGCGATAACCGTTCACAAATCACAAGGATTGACCATGAAGCAGATTGTGGTCCATTGTTCTCCTGAATTCATTCCCGGCCAGACCTATGTAGCGATTTCAAGAGTGAAGCATGAGAACGACGTCAGAGTAGTAGATTTCAGAAAGCATTTCCTGATGCCACCACCACTGCATCTTACCCAATTCGAAACAACGTCCTGTGTGGATCCTGAACCGGAATTCCATTGTTGTAGAAAAATCGTATTGGATGAGAAATGCAGTTTTGCATCGGAGACAGTTCGCGAAAGTGAATGCTCTAACGTAGACGACGCTACTTGTGAATCAAGCATTTCTTCTGAATGTGAAGCACGGAAGCATTTTGAAAAAGCTAAAGGTGATGCCGGCGTTGATCTTAAAGATGTTCTATTACGGTGTTTGTCAGATTTTTCCCACGAACTTTCTCGTCCTCCAGTTGATTTTAACGTGAAAGAGTTTCTCGAGACGGCAACTAACAAAGGGGAGGATATCTTTTCTAAATCCTTTAACTCAGCCGCAAATTTTGCATTGAACAACATAAACACCTTCGACCTATTGGCGCGTGTTCTTTGGTGTAGAATTGCCACGTTATTTAGTGACCATCTTGCAGAGAACGTTGACGACATGCATATGACAAACAAGAATTTCACATGCATAACAGGTAAACTACATGAGCTTTTCATCACAGAGGAGTATCGAAGTGATATAGTCAGCGCCTTTTGTGTCAAAGAGTGGTCGGATCTTGACGATGGGCGGAGAAGTCTTGCAGCTCAGCTTTTATTTCATCTGTACAGAAAGTTCATCGGAGAGTGTGAAAAAAGAGTGAAGAAGCAAGAAGAAGAGCCGGTTTGTTTTACAGTTGAGGAAATGGAAGAGGAGGGAAAAGGAAAAATCCGATACATTGGCGGATGGGCAGCAAGAAAATCTTTGGACAAGAGTCGACGGTACGTTGAAGCAAATAAAACAACAGAGGCAACAGGCGTTTTGGAAAGAGTGAAGAAAGAAATGGAGAAAGTTAACCTGTTGGAAAAAAATGTCATTGCACCTTTTTCCATTTTGACCGGCACCACAGAAAATCCAGCAACGCTTCATGTCACTGAGTCGCGCCAATTTCGTGAAAGGGGTTTACTTCACATTAGTGACGACGCACATAGCTTTTTTATGTCATTAGAACAAGAAAGAATTAACAACATCAATTGCCGTAAACTGACAGATTATCAAGCTAATATGGTTGATGTATCGATCAAGACCGTATTGAATAACAAGACACTGAAAGAACAGTTTAGTAACCTGTTCAAATTAGAGAAAGCTGAAGATCAGGTATATAAATAAAAACTATTAATGTTATGTACTAAATGCCACCTAAAAAATACAATGCTGCAAAAATTATAATTAATACAGTAACTATATTTCACCACTTTTTTATGATTGTTGTTTTATTAAGGATCTGGTAAATGAAATTTACATGGACATAATCGAAAGATATATGAAGATGGGTGCGGGACAATTCTTACGAGATTTTCGCCGCGATTATAACATAAAGAAAACAATGGCACATCGCAAAGCTGTTCTTCAACGGAAGGAAAAAGTGGAAGAAAAAAAGATGAAAGTTCATCTACAACAAATTTTGGACGATAGAAGCCCAAGTAAGAGAATCTCCCATGCACGTTTGCTTTCATTAGTGAGTAAACTAACTCACAAAGGATTACATCGCCTCTATACCAAAAACGAACTACAGCAGTTGTGCAATGCGTACAAAGTTCGCTATCTCGCACGTTGGAACAAAGAAAAACTATCCACACAGTTGGCTAGGGCAATATCCCAATGTGAAACCATGACATGCCACGAAATAATGTCAAGATATGCTGTGGACATTGTTCAGCGTGCTGAACAGCCAAATCGCGTTCCAATACTGAGAATTCGTCGCATATAAGGAAGGATTATGATGTAACAATGTTCGGACACGTGCATGAATCAACGCCTTAATGGCTGATTCCTACTGTTGCGTTCTTGATTCATGTACGCGTGTACGCATAGAAAAGTGTAAGGAAAATGACCCTTTTTTGAGACAACAAGCATCTGTATTTATTGTATCTATTTAGTACAATGGATGATTAAGTATATCTACTTGTTAAAATGTTTTCCGGTGAATAAAGTTTAGAAAATGGAAACATTACTGAGACTGACCTTTTCCGTTCGTATAGTGGCAACTCCCTTTGTATGTATGTCACAGCATTAATATATACAGATGATGCAAATCTATTACCACTTAAGTATAACCGTATATAATACATCAATTCACATGCGGTGTTTCGCACAGTACAAGATTTTTACCATATATGTAATTCAGCACCATTAAGCACTGGTATTTTTCTTTCTGAATATATGTCCTTTTGGCAATTCAGAAAATGACGCATTTTTACTTATGCCCGTGTTTCCTTTCTGACTTATTGTAGTTTGTCCAAGTATTATGGAGTTCTGGGTAGCTTGGGTGAGAAGATAGGTAGGGTTCTCATTCTGCCCATTGGCAGAACGTAGTTGGGAAAAGTGGTTTTCAACAAGATCTTGGTTCATAATAGCGGGTTTTATCACTGATCCAGGAAAGCGAGCCAACTTCACTTCAACCAAAGAACGAAAACCAACAATCATTGATTGAAGATCGAACCAGAGTTTTTCAGAGAAAAACTGACGCTTTGCTTCTTTCGTTTGCTCTCTCCAATCGTTGAAGTATTGAAGTGCATTTGTTAAATGCTGGAGGCGTACATCATCGGTGTTGTAAATAACATGTTTGTCACTGAACAACTCCACCATAAAACTTGTGTGCTTTAACAAGGTAATCGTTTCATCAAGTCTGCAGGCGTTTCCGTCGTTCACCATAACAAGATGTTCCTTGTATGCCTGCAAGAAAAACGACAAAATTCAGAGTGAACATAAACTGAATGATTTTTATATTTTATACATGTTTTACATGTTGACATACTTTCATAAGATTAAACATCTTTTTGTCAAGTACATCTTCTGCAAGACTGTTTTTCATTCTGGAACTCGGTGTCAACTCAAAATGATCTTGCTTTAGCCGTTCGTGACAATGACATGAATTGCATCTTTGATCCCACAGGTACGCTTCATTCCAGTGGGACCAGAAAATGTGTTTTCCGTCTTTGGTAAGGCATCTTGCTGTGCCGACAGGCGTGCTTTTTTCAATGTTATTGCGAATCTTTTTGAAGTTGTGCTATGATATATATAATATATACCCGAATATAACATATCCATGCATTCGTCCAATTGCAAGTTACGTGATACGCATTGTATATGTAAACGTTATATAGATACCTTGCAATCCATTTGAAATATCATAGGAGCTTCTGTCCACATATTATACCCAATGAAGTGTAAATCTACTGGACTGCAGTTGGGGAAGTGAATTTTAATGAACAGTCTATTGGCATCTCCTCCATCACAAATGCAATAGTAAATGCTACAAAAGAAAAATTCCTGGTTACGAATTTTAATTAATTTTTATTTCAACTTTAATGAAAACCAAACGTGGCATATGTATTACCTGAACCCTGCTCTTTTCATTTGAAACAAACCTTCCCAGAATTGAAAATATAATGCAGATGGTGGGCATTGTGCTGTAGGAAAGTGTGCCAGTGGAAATCGAAATCCAGAATCGCTGAGGTAAATAAACTGTAGCAAGTGTGTTGCTACTTGAATGTTCGATGTTCCTATAAAATATCATAATCAAACGTTTCGTATCAGATTATAACTGGACCAAGCTGCGCAGAGATCAACTACTATATATTATATACTGTTACTGCATTTTTAACATTAACCTGTTTCAATGCGCTTCATGTCTTGATAAGTTTCACCAAGAGACACCATTCCTACCAACTGATGCTTTCCTCCTGTTATCGTCATTTGCAAGTCTTCCTGAAAAATGCACGGCCATTTAATTAGGTATAATAACTTCACTGTTTATAAATATATATATATATATATATATATATATATATATATATATATATATATATATATATATATATATATATATATAAAGGAAGGAATACAGATTTTGCATGATTTGCATAAACTTTACCTTTGAATTTCTTGGCGAAATTTGACATTAGAGCCAATATAACTCTTAAACAAAGTCACATATATCTATTCGTTTGGTAATCACTCGCCTTTGGCTCGCGGTTTGTATCTACTGATTCAACACGGCCGTCAATGTTGTATATAGTACATATAGATATAATTATATATATACATTACTTGAATCTTCATCTCGTCGACAATCAAACCACCCCAATAATCAGCTGGTTTGAGTTTCTTTCGTTCAGCTTCTTGACGACACCATTCGATTGTTTCCTGATTCCACCCCGCCTGCTGACTGACGGAATTCTTGTAATACCTAAAAATACGTAGCTATATCAGAAGAAATTTTCTTATATCAAAATTAAACAATTATTTGTAGAAACCTACCCCGACGTTTTTTATATAAGTATATTGTTACCTTATCAGGCGATTACTTGGGAGTATAACGAATTCTCGCATTGAGTCTAATGCTTTTGGACTCTTACAGTAAACGTCTAGTGCGAATCTCACGATTCTAAAGTGAGCAAAAGTAGTAATTTGCATGTGGATTTTATTCAATATAGTTTTTGAAATATAATGGATTGATTGATTGAATTATGCATGAACCTCGGGTGCCATCGATAGCCTGATGGTGATTTGGAAGATAACTGCTTTCTTTGCATTTCCCACAGCAGTTCCATGTCCGCAGGAACATCTTTGCTATCAACTTTCTTCACTATCTCTCGTAAATCCATAGAGTCACTTTCAGAAAACTCGATCATCTCCTTTAATGCTCTGTTCTCTCTTGCACTATCATTTCGTAAATCTTTTCTTTGTTGATCCATTTTCTTTTCCAATCCCTCATTTGCCAAAAAACGTTCGTTGCAATTTTTGTGCAGT